TTGCTAACCGTAACCTCGTTTATAATACGAAAGCTGATCGACGCAGACCCAGGGATCTACTTACTCTGATAGTGACCTCATACCAACCCAGCCAATCAGCACTAATGTTGCAATCGAGGATAATTGTAATTCTACACCACAATTGGACTCAAAGTGGTCTCTTCCAGAGGCGCGGGTTGCAAAAATTGGAGAACACCTATGTTTGCAAAAACCGACATTCGACCTACCTCATTCTGAGAGCCAATCTCAGGGCCTGGTCAGGTGTCAGTGTGGGTGGAACGGGGAAGAAGCAGATATGGTACGTTTATGGGGGCGTTGAAGAAGCTGTTGCTAACGTTGCCAGTTAAAATGTGCCTTCTGTCGCACGCGTCAGCACTTCCTGTGCTATGGGTTCGAAGGCCCGAATGACCCAAAAGTTCCTGACGTTCATGCTTGTTACAAGTGCTTACTAGGGCCAAGCGATACTCAGTTACTCCAAGAAATGAACAGCCTTGTGCTCCTGAGAAGAGCCCTAAGAGTCATTCTAGATGAGGGATTTCCAAATAAGATCTCAGAATTTACACAAAAGCTCCGTAAGATGACCCAGAAAACTGTGCTGAGACCAAACTAACTGTGAACAGACTGCAACGGACAAACCATTATCCAAATAACCGATATTTTGAAGAAGAAGGGGTTCATTCAACCCACACCCGGCTATAAACTCAAGGGATTTGCCCGACGGGGGTTGCCAAAGTATAGTGTCCCACAAACAGAGAATGTACGTCAAAGTTTAAAGAAGGAAATATTCCACCCTATGGTGAAAATAAAACATTTTGTAAGTTGCATACTTGTCTTAAAGAGGTAGCAAAGGATACTGATGATCATCATAGTACGTCCTGAAGAATCCGAATTGTCCGGATAGCCTAGATCCAACTTCGACCAGTCAAGAGCTTGGCCCCATCAATGTACCTACTGTTCAAGCTGGGAACGTGCCATTCGAGGGGCTCAGGTCGAGAGGTCATGAGAGACAAAATTCCGGCGGAGGCCTGCAGGGTCTGCCTCAAAAGAGTCAGGATCACAAGAGAAAGTCGTTACCGGACAGTGATAAAATTGAGAGCTATGAATCCGATGACCTTGATAAGAACGACCGGGCTGCAGAGGAGCAACTGCATAACAGCTTTCTAACTAATGAGAGCATGAACTCAAAGGCCAGGGGATCAAGCCAGCGAACATCAAGTAGTCAGGAACCTCGACGTAGCGGCAGGAAAAGGCGTAAGATAAGCAACTACTCCAAGCTTATCGATGTTGGGGCCGAGACGAGCGATCATGAGAGCATCTAGACCGAGAGGATGTTTCTGAAAGCACAAAGTGACCATCTTGGCATTACGCCGTCTTCCAACAATTGGAAAGATAGGGCGCTGGTGCCGGACCAAAAAAGTAACGAAAAAAAAAAGGGTACTCAGGGGCTTGCGGCATAGCAAGCACTTGAACAAGGCGTCAGAGGGAAGGGAGGCAAATGCGTTTTTACTGAGAATTACCTTCATGAAGGCTGTTCTTAAAAGGCTGAGGTTTGGCCGCCTCGGCAAAAGCAATCTGCATCTGATGGGTTGTTCTGGAGGTTGTCCAGGGAAGACTTCAGACAACCCAAAAGGCTGATACCTAGTTTGTAATCTACTTTTGAGGGTGGGCTATTAAAAACCTGGGTTCTATAATTGAGTAACTTGTATCAGTTAGGTCGCATATTCGCATACACGATGTGCTTAAACCGGAAAACAATGGGTAGTGCTCCAACAGAAACGAAGTGCCACTGGAATATATTCGGCAACACTGAAGATCTTTTAACATCACGGTAATGTCTCTAGGACCTCGGATACATTCATGTGTCATTGGCGTAGGATCATCCTGTAGGGCAGATATGCTTTCTCGGACGTTTGATGACATTCGGTTATGTGTCATTAAGCCGGAGGGAAGACGATCAGATACGTTGAGAGGTTGAGATCTTTATCAACTGCAAGGCACACTTGGATGGGCCCGGATCAGCGATTACCCCTTGCAGCGCAATCGTGCATGGGGGCGAATCAAAAGCTAAGAACGGGGTATTCTGATGGGGAACTCGTCAGATTTGGAATCATAATGAGGGGCATGAGAAGGCCTGAGCTCAGCTGATCCACGCCTGTACTCCGCCGCTGTACAGATATTGTGGGCTGTAATTGACCGATTGTTGCTATGTTTGGAGTACTCTAAAGTGGACGGGTGGGATCCAAGCCACCCTCTGTGCGCTTGATTAGGTCCTTGTCGATTATACTCTGTATTGTAAGGGATGTGGCATACTTATAGATCAAAAAGAAGAAAAATTTGACGTTGAAACACAAATCATCCACTGGTGGTGGTAGCGACCGGCAGTTACGAGCGGCTCTTTCCAAGTCCATTATTGCGACTGCTTGAAGCTTTCATTACATTGGAATCAGACCGTGGTTGGACACGGAATAGTGGCACTTTTATTTTTGGCGAAGGAGCAATTTGACACTGCCGAGTTGAGTGATCGCCTGTCAGCGTCTGGTTGGTAGCGAGCAACTCCTTTTTGTGGCTTCGTCTCAGTTCACTCCCCGCGTGGGGAATTGGCCGCCCGGCAGTCCGACGGTCGAAGGTGCCATAGACAAAGGTGTTTTTGCTTTGGTTCCTGAGCCCCTATTGTCGACTCTACTACCAAGTGTTTACGCGAAACACTAGTAATTTGTCATTCTTAGTTGATCCCCTATTTTCGTTCTGCGGAGAACCCAACTGATCCCAGCAAGCCGGATAGAGAGAGGTATCGGTGTCTTGGCAGATCGGCACTACACATGATAGACCATAGGACAGACCCTTGATGCACGTAATCAGGGCAAAATGCGAACAGTTACTAGTTCTGCGCCTTATGATCTCACTAACGAAAGCCCCCCGGACATTCTGCAAGATCTGCGAAAGACGCTCGGCGACCGTCCGCTTGAGCAGCGCATTTGACACTAGTACGGGCGACCTGTACATTCCCTGAGTTTTATAGTATGTACATACATACACTCTGGTGGCTGCAGCGGATGAAGTAGGGGTTAAAGTTTGCAAGTTCCATAGCTTGGATGCTCGACGCCTGTAAGATGGTCTTCAATGCCGAAGAGCATCTCTGTGGAGTAGGGAGCTTTAGACCATTATGCAATTGCCAGCCTGAAACCACTAGTAACTAGGCAGGTTCGTGACAGCACATCTTTGCCTCTCAGGGGAAAGTGAGGCCTAATGTTCATTCCATTCTGCCATGGAAATAATTAAATGGACTTGACGACTATTGACGACGATCCCAGCATCTTTTGGGCAACATTGGATCGGCCTTTCAAGGTTGGGTTTGAAGCACATGCATGTCAAGCACCAAAACCCGATCATTAGACTAAATCCCCTATTAGAGTCGTGCGAGCATCGGCGGGGAATAGATGGTTCGGACGACAAACCGCCTTGTTCCCCATTAGTGTAGGGCGACGTATCCGATATACTCCGCGGAACGGTGATCACTGTTGGAAACCTTTGTTCGTCTGAGATGGGACTATTGAATGGGGGGCACTGGTGACTCCACCGATATGACGGCTAAGAATGGCATTGGCGCGCGGGATAGTGATCAACATTGGTTGTACTCATCGGGGAGGATAGAAAGACGGCAGAGGGTCGTGGCGCGGCTTGAGGAAAGTTAAAGGGTATTTCCAGAGTTCTTCACTCTAGTACGTAGTTCGGGATCGAGCCCATGGATCGAGTGGTTGTCAGAACGGGTGGAGAATCGATAGTGCTCCTGGGTAACCCCTTAAAGGGGTCTTGACTCTTATGGGTGGAAATCATGGCTTCAGCGCCCTACCGTGCAAAACCATACACAATCTATTGCTTTGTTATACCACGGAAGGTTATTGGGAATAATGAGACCAAAAACAATACCATTGAAACTATTTAATGTTATTTCAATGGAGACCGCAACCTTTGCTTAATCATAGCCAAGGATTATTGGGATTGTCGGCGGACAGCCGCGTGGGAGCTGCACGTGCCCGCCTCGTGTATGCCGCGGAAGATTGATTTGAATTTTACTGCGTCGACGTCGACGGTAGTAATTCTCCTAGAAGGATTTCGATTCTAAGAAGAAGAACGGAAAAGAACCGCTACGAGCCAACCCTTTTTAAGGAACGTCCTAATGATGCCTGTTGTGTTGATTGACCTTGCGTGTGTACCCAAACCAAGAAGAACCTACCATGGTACTGTCCATATAGATACGCATAACATGGGAAACATCTCGAGGTACCTTAATATTCTATTCAGAATGAGAGACTGCCCCTCGAAAACCATTGGTCGTGGTACACACGTCACTGGAGGGATAATTGACCACGACTTTACTCCGTACTAGTTTTTCTTTTACGTGAGTGGTGGTATGATTGAATGGTGGTCGCCTACTAAGTACTAGTAAGTACTCCGTAGTGTACGTAGTGTACTCTCTCGGTTTCTGGCCGGTCCACCGCGCTAACCCAGAACCACTCTCGACTGAGTACAATCGATGGAACCATGGGTGGTGCCTGTCGATAATTACTGATATTGTCAGAAGCTAAAGCAAGAACTATCGAGTTGTGTACTCCGTACTATGGACGCCGAATTTAAGTTGGCCACCCCCGTTTGTTGTTTGATGGAGCTTATTCCGTGGCGATTTCTCTCTCTTCTTATTCGGGCTTTATCGGTATCGCCCTCAATGCTCCACCAACAAATGTGTAGTCCCATCTGAGAGCACGCACTCGATGGCGTAGAGGATACGTGGATCTCCCTGTTTCGGGTTCTCCATAATAAATCGCGCGTAACTGAGTTGTTGGTCCATGCGTGCTTTTTTAGATTGCCTGGGGGCTTTTTTTTTTTTTTTTATCATTTTCTTTTTTTTTTCCTTTTTTAATTTTTTTGGCTACTTTTCCCATCTCAGCCCCTTAAAGCTAAGATTAATTTAATTGTACTCAGCGTTCTAAATCCTTTCCCACCCCGTCTCCAGCTGTCCAAATGTAATCACAACTATAGTGCCTAATAAATATCCTAGGCTCGCTCGCGCGGACTCTTAGTCTCCGATCAATTCCTTGTTTATTTGCTGTGATTTTACATCATTAAAAGGACGCCCGTGACCCGCTCCCGTCAACAATATTTGACGCTTTTCTTCCTAATTCTTGCCCAGGCCAACACTCTCCCCACCTTTTAGAACCCCTGTTCGCTGCTCCCTTCACACCAGGGACCTCAATTTCTCCAAACTGGATTTTGTATGCTGTCGACGGAGTAGTGGCGGTTGAGAAATGAAAAGTTGCTCGTGATCGAACCGACAGCTTCTCACCGACTCACTGTGGGGAAGGACACTATTTTGGGGTTGACAAGTGCGAAACAAAAGCCCAATCCAGGACCAAGGGTAAATAAATAAAAAAAGAAAGATAAATCAAAAGCATATCTATACCCACGTCAGCCGGCACCTGAGACGCATTGGGTTACACAAAACCTCGTCCTCCTTCGGTGCAGCATTAGAACTTCTTGTTCGACAATCGCCGCCAGTGACATTCGCAATTACTGATACAACCGGTTTGAGCAAGGCGAAAATTTCAGAACGGAAGTTCAGGTGATCAAAGCTTCTAAGATGCCCCAACAGACCATGACGATACCAATGCGGACATCGAGTGTAAACGCGGTGTCGAACGGGATGCATATGTCAAATGCTAGCCATGAAGATTTGAGACGCGAATCAGCGTCAAAAGCTCAAAAGATATTGGGTACGACTGAAATCCCTATGCCTCAGGATCAATCCCGGCGAGAAGACAGAAGATCGCGAGGAAATAGCTTCATGAGAGCCCCGGATATCAAGTCGAAGAAAAGCGGCGGTTTTGCTGCGTTTCCTACTCCTACACCCGAAGCAACTTTACCACCACCACATCTCCGTGTTCGAGCATCGTCCCCGCTGCTTGGGCAGGAGTATCGATCACAAGATGCTATGCCACCGCCTATTCCTACGCACTCTAAAAGGGTTCAGCAATCCGGCTCCTCATCTACACTGTTTTCCTATTTCAATTCTCGCAATTCAACTATGGACTCCAATCTAAGTCGCAAGACGACAAAAGATTCTATACCGACTGAAGAAAAGAGTTCTCGAGCGCAGAACAGTATCGAGCCACGCTATGGTTTGAAACAACCGAAGGGCCCTATGAAGGAGTCGAAACGGAAAATGCGCCCACCCAGAATAGATCTCTCTCTCCTATTCCCAAAGCCACGAGTGGATGCTGCCCCCCTTCTGTCGCCGCAACGATTGGTGAACTCGCCGTCTGCAATATCAATGACCTCTGAGCATCCCGCAGTCAAAGCGAAGAATTTTGACAACCCTGAAACTACAAAGAGAACCACGAAAACTACTCCTTCGGGCCACGAAACCAAGGGCCATCAAGCTACTGACGTCGCCAGCGAGTCTTCACCGACATACGAGTCAGGTAACACAAACTGGCTTGATCCTTCACTTGAAAGAACAGTGCGCACCAGTGAGATGGATATGGCTTTGAAACGGTACAGCCAATTCCAGAAAGCTCCTCAGCCTAGTGAAATGACCCGGTCTAGTCAGTTGCATTTACGACCACGGGATCGTGAACAACCACAAGCAAGTGATACCAAGTCTACAGGGAGTTCTTTGCGAAAAGTTCCATCCAATAGCTCCGCTGGGGGATGGAGCAGGGAACTATACTTGTCACCCAAATCTTTCTCCCGCCCACACAACAGTCGTGTTTCTAACTCGTCGAGCGCACGGCACGCTGACCCACGCGAAAACCCCTCTGCCTACAAGAGTTCAATGTCGAAGAAGAGCAGTAAAAGTACTCTGAAAAATGTGGACCTCAACAAATCGAGTGTGCTTTGTCTTTCATCATCAGAAGATGAAGACGAGGAGGAGGAGGAAGCGCCAGCCAAACATGATAAAAACATAAGAGACAGCGTAACTACCTACGGTGAATTCGATGCTGAGATATGTACAGCTTCTGCGGCACAAACCACGAAAGGAACACTGAGACGAGTTGAGAGACCTTACTCTATGTCAGCTAGTAGCCATGGGTCTCAGTCTGTCCGGCGACAACAGCAAACTATCTTACGAAACCCATCAATGTCGTCTGCGGGAAGATCAACCCTTGAAACGAGGAGTCACCGCTCGAGTGGCGTACCCACGATATCAGAACCAGATTTCCTCAATACCGACCCTATGGCTAATCAAGTACGAAAACCATCTCAGAGGGCACGTCTCCAGCAGAGCCAGCAGAACCGCAGAAGCCGAGTTATAGCCGTGACAAGGCAAGAAGAGCACCTACTAGAAGCAATGAGACAACGGAAAGGCAAAATAACCCCTAGTCTTTTCCATGAAGCCCGTTACCAAGATAGTAGCGAGCCTGATAGAAATTCTATGCTCTCGGTGCCTTCGCGGGACTCATTCTACGGGTCCGACATCTCCTTCCTTCGACTCAGCCCTGGACTACCTCCTAGTATGCTACGGAAAGATCAAGGTGCAAACCATTTTGATAAAGACGGCTCCATTTCTCAGGGCACGGCTTCTGATGCAGAACAGAAAACCACTAACTCGAGCGCGTCTCCTCGAGTTAGCTTGATCTATTCGGAAAGTCTTCCCTCGCCAGCAACAAGTGGGGCTTCCCCATTGACACCGACTCTTCCTATACATCGCTTTTCTCCGCTCCCATCACAAAAGCCGCCCCCACGCAATCCCCCTCCGTCTATCCCATCAGTTCAACGGCGACATTCGAGGCGACGCACGGATAGTAGCGAGGCCATCGTTCTAGGCGACTCCGAGGAACGGAAGCCCGAACCAGACGATTTCCCGATTTGGGCATTGGGATGGGGAGGTAACGATAATGTCAATCTGACGGCAGTACACTGAAAGTCCAACTGTATCCAGTCACCTTTCACAACACTCAGGTCTTTAATACCGCCATGAACAAATCACTCATCCGCTATTATATCTCGAGGTCTTATCATTGATTGATACACCTGAAACACACGTCTCACCCTTTCTCCTACTTATACCATACACTCTTTATCTCTGTCACTATCTCACTCTTTGATCCTTTTTTATCTTGGTTGATTACCTACCATTCGCTGATCTATACGTTTCCCTTGTTCTTTTTTACATACCACACGATGACCGGCTAGACGATGCCATTTTCTTATATAATGTATTTACTGCTCACCACGTCCGTATGCACAGGAGGAAGGAATAAGAATAGACTAATCCAGCTTTCTAAGTCCATATAAAACCTGTCCAATGAATGTAAATATGGTTCATGTTTTTATCTTTATTATCGCATGTTTTATTTCCGGTTCCGTAGGCCTAAGCGTAGTAAATAGTGGATTACTACAGTGTGTGCAGTATACTCGGCGAGGGATCAGCTATTTCCGGGATTTGGTTAGGATATATCCCTTACATTTTCCTCTCCTGGCCTCCAGATCAGGCTCCTTAGTCGAGAGGCACAATAGCTATGACCCACTCAAGCATTTGAAAGCATACTTTGCTTATGGTTTTAGGCTCAGCCACTCTATGCCTCCAAGCTAGTCACAAGCCAAAAAGCTCTCACACGATAGGGTTCTACTTGCGATAGCTCTTGCATGTCTGCCGATCTCGGAATGCAATAGAGTCAAACCGTGGAGTTTGTATTTGAAACGAAGCTCATATAGAGGGGTTACTCGTATATGCAAGGGAATAAGTGTTTGCGGTTTCCTGGAACAAAAAGTACAATGGTCGCGTGAGCTGGATGAATGATAGATGATGGGCTACCAAAAATCGCTAGTTCATTGGTACGTACTCCGTAGATTAGTACTCAGTAGTGAGCAGAGAACTTTAGGTAGTAGTCCCGTGGATATGGCCTGTGAACTGAACCTAGATCCTTTTTCTAGATAATACTTAGCTCCCAAAACAACCCAGGCAGGAAATAATAGGTGTTCGATTGAGGCCTTGGATATCTATAGGATCCATTCATTTTAGTGGGAAACTAAAAAATAAAAAATAAAAAATAAAGTAAGAGTCATAGGGACTTTGTTTGAAAGCTTATACCCGGCACTTTTCTTCTCGAGGACAAGTTCTTACCAGTGCCGTCTACATGTGTAAACATACATTGTGCTGAACCTCGATCTCGTGCACGGGAATAATGTGAAGGGGCCCATCGCGATCTATCGGCCAGATACGACGAGGGTGGCTTGAGAAGTTACAAAAATTACTAGCACTTGTAGCAGTCGAGGCGTGTCGACCCAAAGGGGCACTGCTTTCTGCCCAATTGGAAGATGATTTATAGGCAGCTGACGTCAGAGCGCCTTCAAATGGGTCCAAAAAGCAAAGTCGATGCAAATCCAAGGACTTAATTCCACTTCTTCTTGACACCAACCATGGAATGAAAATCAAATGGCTGAAAAGAAGGAAAACTAAACCAACCACTAGAGTTGAAGACTCCACACCGCTAAAACTAGTTAAGCGCCGCATCACGTTCAACATGAAGGAATACGAATGCCATAACCCGACCCCAGATCTTCTTTTTTATTAGTAACGGCTCGTAAGCCTCTCAGCTCAGATCCCCTTTCATCCTAAGTCCTCGCTTTGTTTTCTCTCCTCTTTGTCTCCCGCCAACCACCCCCTTATCTCACTGTGAGTTATTCATTGTTTTCCGAGACATCTACGCCGGAGTCGAGCTCCACCTGGGTCCTATTTGTGCGAACGCGCAAAGGACCTTCTCTAACTCGGTCGTGCGACAATCCCCCTCTTAACGACTTAACGACCCAACGCGCACGAGTCGCATGTAACACCCTCGGCAAACATCAGACGGCCTGCCCCTATCGACTTGCGGATAGAATTCTTGAGAAAAGGGGCCTATATTAATTGATTGCCTGTCCCGTTCTGTCATTGACACGGAGGAACCGATCGAATTCCGCCTGAGGAAATACCGACCTTGCCAAATTATCAACATGGGAGAAAGCGCACAACGCCCGTCGTCAGGGCCAGGGCCAGTTGGGAAGAACTTTTCATGGATTCTGGTAATGCTCTTGGCGTCCCGGCATCAGCCGCAGGGCTGCGCGATTATGTCCATTTCTGGCTGACTGTACGTTCTCTTTGGCTGCAGTTAACGGCACAGTATACTACGTTTGTGCTGGTATGTTGCCCACCTTTCCAAGTAGCCTCGAAAATAGACCGTTAATCCATCGCTTTCTGCACAGTTATTACACTACTCACGGGTGATGCCGCCAACTAATGGCAAGCGATATCTCACGTCTACCGCGGTTTTTTTCAACGAGGTTGTGAAACTTGCCATCTCTCTTACCATAGCATTATACGAAGTTTCCAAAACGGCTCCCCCATCAGTTCCTGCAACATCCCTTTTCTTCTCCCTCACGGCTGCTGTTTTCTCTGGTGACAGTTGGAAACTCGCAATACCCGCAAGCCTCTATACACTTGCAAATTCGTTACAATACGTCGCTCTTTCGAATTTGCAGGCGGCACCCTTCCAAGTAACATACCAGTTGAAACTCATTGCAACCGCCGTTTTTAGCGTGATTTTACTGAATAGGAACATCTCACTGCGCAGGTGGGGGTTGCTATTGCTCCTCCTGGTGGGCGTTGGGCTTGTGCAGATACCCATTAGCAGTTCCGGGGAGGTTTCTCTCCAAGATGAGGCAGCCGCCCATCATGCCTTTCCGCGGTCGCTGGAAGAATGGAAGGCCGCCAAGCTGGATCGGCCAAATCTCCATAAACGTTCGGCAACGTATGAGGGCATTGAGGAGGATATGATGACCGCCTTTCCGCGAATGAATGCAGTTGTTGGCCTCTTAGCGACTCTTGGCGCGTGCGTCGCATCCAGCCTTGCCGGTGTATATTTCGAAAAGGTACTGAAGGATAGTGCAAAGTCAACCTCGCTTTGGGTCCGTAACGTCCAATTGGCCGTTTACTCTTTATTTCCCGCACTTTTCATCGGTGTTGTCTTCTTGGACGGCGAAAAGATTGCCGCCAACGGCTTCTTCGGAGGGTATAATTGGGCCGTCTGGTCTACCGTGGTTGCTCAGGCAATCGGAGGGATTGCAACATCCTTCTGTATTGGCCATGCATACCGAGATGCGAAGAATGTTGCTACTGCTACCAGCATCTTTCTCACTACGTTAGGAAGTACCTGGCTATTTGAGTTTGAGCTCACTGGTAATGTACGTGTTGCGTAGCTTTTTCTTGAAAGGACCCTCCGTGGAATCTAACATGCGCTGACCGGCCCCCCTCTAGTTTATTCTCGGAACGTTTGCAGTGCTTGTGGCTACCTATCTTTGCGAAGACCCGAGTTCGGCTTCCAACACCGGCAAGCGCCAGGGGCCTCGCCCGCCTCCGATTCGCATCGACCAGTATGAGAAAGAATCCAAAAGCGATGAAGTTTCGCCCACGTCCCCTCCACCGAACGAATTTTCGATCAAACTCCCCGGAACGCCGTTCCTGTCCGATGCCGGCCTGTCGACCTCTAGGCCTACATCACCAGGTCATGTTAGGATTAATGCAGCCCGGACCGCCAGCGGTGGTTATTTTGATAAGCAGCTACGAGACCAGTGATTTGACGATACGGATACGAACTCAGATTTGCATGCAGTGTGTATATTACGCTTTGCGTTTTGACCAAGTCCTATGGGAAGTAAATAAGCATGGATAGAAGCGAAGCGTTTTTTGTTTCATCTTGGACATCGACATATTTCTCGTGCATGTGGCTTTTGTTTCTGTCCTGTTTTCTACTATCTTCGTCTCTTCATCCATTTCCCTCTCATCTTCTCCCCCTTTTTCCAAAAAAAGAAAACCCCCTTGAACGTCATGTTTTATGTTTTAGTATATATATGATCACCCTAACCAGACGTTCGGTTGTGTAGCAATGTATAAGTGTATATCGCTCTGAGGCTCTGAACATACCCCTGACAGAGACCACTTGCGCCGATCAAACTGTCATACTGCTCATTCTCTGGGCAGCTTCCCACGTGCTTGTCAGTCTTTCTGTGATAGAAAGCAGGTGACCTATTCTCCCACCTGTAATTGAGTAACCGTTCAACCTTTTTCAATCAGGCTATCTACTACTCACCCCTGTTTACTCGCAGCCGTCTTAGCATCATGCCAAGAAAAGCTTACTCGCCCTTCCCTGCATCACGCCAGAGTACTTCATATAGAGGAACGGGGGGTACCCAGCTCCGTACACCCATGCGCTCCAATGTGCGTACTGCTCTTGATCAAAGATTCGGCGAAGGGGCTCGAAACTCGTCATCTCTAGGCGGATCTCGCAGAGAAGAGCTTCCTATTAGTACACCCGAACCAGGGGCACTATGCCGTGATGACGACTTGCTTTATGATGCATTCGGTAAGTAAGCTTAACAGATATTGTATTGACTATATATAGGATAGAGGCTAAATGTAGTGGATTAAGATTTGGAATTGCTTGCACAGTCAGATGAATCAGCGAGGACTCGACAGTCTATCTTCTCAATTACAGACCGTCAGTTGCACACACGCGAGGTGCCCCAGAATGGCGCCCCAGCTCTGGTCTCTCGATATTTTTGCGGTAGGTCTTGAGTCTCTGCGACTCAAATTGGATGTCAATACCTCTAACTTATTGCACTAAATAACACGGTTCAGAAACACCTCATATCACACCGCATCAAAGTGTGGCATCTGGTTCCTCAGACCTTGAAATAAGGTCACCTTCTAGTCCCTTGCTCAGGCTACAGGCTGAGAGAACCCGGCCTTACGTGACACAAGATAGCGATTCAAAAGGGTGCCACCATGATCACCAGCTCCGGCTTGAACAATTCGAAGAATCACACGCTGCTGCGATTCTAGAACAAAGGACGCTGTTCCAGGACATGCCCGTGTCAGTTCGAGGAATCGTTCTTGTGTCTGTACATGAGCTCCCTGATAAATATCGGTCGCTGTTCTCTTTTCCTGCCTTTAACGCGATACAATCCAAATGCTTCCAGCCTGTTTACAAAAGGGACGACAACATTGTGCTTGCTGCTCCTACTGGAAGTGGCAAAACAGTTGTCATGGAGTTGGCCATATGTCGTTTACTTAATAATCTGAAAGACGAGAGGTTCAAGGTCATTTATCAAGCACCCACTAAGTCACTTTGCTCAGAAAGGTTCCGTGACTGGAGCAGGAAGTTCCACTCACTAGGTCTTCAATGTGCTGAGTTGACCGGTGACACTGATTACTCACAGATGAGGAGCGTCCAAAATAGCCAGATAATTATAACGACGCCGGAAAAATGGGATAGCGTAACACGGAAATGGAAGGATCACGCACGTTTGATGCAGCTGGTGAAACTCTTCTTAATTGATGAAGTTCATATTCTCAAAGAGTCTCGCGGAGCAACATTAGAAGCTGTTGTATCACGCATGAAGACGATCGGGTCCAATGTACGATTTGTTGCACTAAGCGCTACCATCCCAAATTCTGAGGATATAGCAACATGGCTCGGCAAGGATGTGACGAACCAGCATGTTCCAGCACACAGGGAGCATTTTGGTGAGGAGTTTCGTCCCGTTAGGCTGCAGAGGTTTGTGTGCGGCTATCAGTCCCAGGGAAATGACTTCGCATTCGATAAGATGTGTAATTCGAAGTAAGTAGGCACACCCAATCTCAGATTTACTCTGACCACAAATGTTAGACTTCCTGATATACTTGCGATATATTCTTGCAGGAAACCAATTATGATCTTCTGCTGCACGAGGAACTCATCTGTGGCTACGGCAAAGGAACTTGCTCGACTGTGGTCAATGTCCAACCCTCCAGCTCGGTTATGGAAAGGACCAAGCACATCATTCGAATTCAATAATGTAGACTTAAAAAGTACGGAACGAATTCAATTGTTTATAGAATACGCGGTTGCTGATCCGGTTTATTAAAGCTACGAGTGCTGCAGGTGTCGCCTTTCATCACGCTGGCCTCGGTCCCGGAGACAGACAGACAATCGAAAATGGTTTCTTACAAGGTCAAATTAACATAATATGCTGCACATCCACTCTTGCAGTTGGTGTGAACCTCCCATGTCACCTTGTGATTATCAAAAACACCGTCGGATGGCTGGACGGTGGCTGCAAAGAATATTCGGACCTCGAGATTATGCAGATGCTTGGTCGTGCCGGGAGACCTCAGTTTGACAAAGACGCAGTCGCCGTTATCTTAACGAGAAAAGAACGAGTTGGCTACTATGAACGTCTCGTCTCAGGCTCTGAATGCCTTGAAAGCTGTTTACATTTGAACTTAATTGACCACCTGAACGCTGAGATTGGGTTAGGCAATGTCACCAGTGTTGAATCTGCTATCAGATGGCTTGCTGGCACCTTTTTATCCGTGAGGCTCAGACGAAACCCAACACATTATCAGCTAAGGGAAGGCGCCGATAGGAAAGATGAAGACGAGATGCTTCGCCAGATCTGTGAGAAAGACATCAGACTTCTCCAAGAGAGTAACTTAACCTCCACTGAACGCCTTAGGTCCACGCAATTTGGTGATGCAATGGCACGTTATTACGTGCGGTTCGAGACGATGAAGACCTTCCTCACGTTAAAGCATCACGCCACTATGTCTCAAATTGTAAGCGGCTTACCTCTGAGCTATAATACAAACTAACAAATGATTTCCCAGCTCTCCGTGATCTCTCAGGCAGAAGAGTTCCGTGATGTCCGTCTCAAGGCAGGAGAGAAGTCGCTGTACAAAGAGATCAACCGTGAAACTGGTATAATGTTTCCGGTAAAAGTGGATATAGCACTTCCTGCTCATAAAACATCACTACTCATCCAGTCTGAGCTGGGTGTGGTGGAATTTCCAGATGACGAACAATATCAAAAACACAAGTTTGCGTTCCAGCAAGACAGAGGTTTCGTATTTTCACACGTTAATCGCCTTATTCGATGCATCATAGACTGTCAGATTGCTCGCCAGGATTCAATTGCTACCAGAAACGCCTTGGAACTTGCAAGGAGTTTTGGAGCCAAAGTGTGGGATAGATCCCCATTTCAGATGAAGCAACTTGAGCAAATCGGTGTTGTCGCGGTTAGAAAATTAGCAGCTGCAGGAATAACCAGCATTGAAGCTCTAGAGTGCGCAGAGCCTCATCAGATTGACATGATCTTGAGCAAGAACCCTCCCTTTGGGTTGAAACTTCTAGGGCGTCTTTCCGAGTTCCCTAAGTTACGCGTGTCTGCCAAGGTGATAAAAAAGGTATCAGATTTATAGATCTTACCTCGCCGCCAAGCGCGTTGCTGACAACCCAGTAGGAGACAAAACACGGTAATCCCATGAGAGTTCATTTCAAAGCCGAGGTTGCATTTATGAATGAAAAATGCCCAGCAACTTTCCAGAGGCGCCCTGTACATGTCTGTTTCCTAGCGGAAACCTCTGACGGATTGATGATCGATTTCCGGCGTATGAGGTTGGTTGAAAGAGTCACCCCTTTCATTATTTTCTCAGGACTAACACCAAACTAGTGCCAGTAAGGTCCAAAGTAGCCAGGAGATACATTTGAACCTAGAAATGAATAGCCCAGATCAGTACATCACGTGCTATGCTATGTGTGATGACATTGGTATGCATTTGGTTCTCAGCCAAACTAACCAGTCTGTATTGCTGATTTTTTGAAGCCGGGACTTTGATATCAGCAGAATTGAGGCCCATCCTCCCAGCTTCGTTGTTTTCCTTTCGTTCTAGTAAGGAGTCAGATGAGACGAACCAAAGGCACATGATGAATCTGCCACGGCCACGTAGCAACACGTCTTTGCGGGTCAAACCCAATAAAGAATGCAATCCAGATAGCTTCGGCAGTGATGACTCGCTTTTCAATGACTTTTTGGAAGCTGGTGCGATCTCTCATCTTTCCCCCTTCGTACAGTGACTTAGTCTAAGGATTTTACGGGCAGACAAAGCCACAGATTGGGCAGCTATGAATTACATAGCATGCCCAGCGAGTGAGAATATGCCACAGGAAAAGACGAGCAAGAAGATCAAAAGATCCAAGGAGGTGAAGGATGTACACAAAGCAGAAGAGCCAACCCAGTTTGGAAATGGTAGATGGAGCTGCAACCATAAGTGCAAGGACAAAACAATGTATCCTTTTCTTCCCTTCCCTCACTCTTCTGGATGTGAGACCTAACTAGTTCATAGGTGTAAGCACCTTTGTTGTCGGGAAGGGCTTGTGAAACCACCAAGGGTGAACAGAAAGCACTCTGCTGGAGGGATTGACCGCTCAAATGGACTCAATCAATTGACATTATCTGCAAGTATCCCCAAGAATAGCACGCAGATGGATAATCTCGGTAAAACATGGGTTCAAAAGGATAATACGAATGACAATGGGCCACAAGAAATGCCACAAAGCTCCTCACAAGAACCAAACATAAGTTTGAGAGATGCTGCTTCCGAAGGCCCAATATGTCCTGGCGTTAACAATAAGGACTCATCGAGCGACTATGGAGATGACAGCTTCAGTGATTTACCTTCACCATCTGATTTGCACTTTGGCAGCATCACTAAATTGACAGACCGAAGTGCTCAGACTGCCAGCAAAGAGCTCTCCTTAGATAAGATTGTCAGAACAAAAGACGAATGGATTTACACAGATGAGCCATGGCTTACACTACCGTCCTCGCTTCCTGATCCGCTTGTGCATGACAAAAATGCAATGTCTACCAAGATTGCAGGGACATCCAGGGAATCTGTGCTTGGACCAAAGGCATGGAGTTTGAATGGTAGTCAAGGAGCCAAAAATGACAACCAAACCACTATTGAGACGAATGAAATTGAATATATTGGGAAAAAACGAAGGCGCTCTTTGACTTCTGGGGACAACACCCACGGCAAGAGAATCACGAAAAGACATATAGATGACCAAGCTGCTGAGGCTTCTGCAAGTCCAAGTCAATATCACGGTGCTGACACATTGAGTGGCTACAACCAGAATCCTCAGCCTTATGAACCCGCTGATCTACCCGCCATCTGGGATGATATCGATCCAACCCTGTTGGACGAGTTCAAAGACATTGTTAACTTCTTCTAGAATGGAAACCAGGCTAATGGGTATCAAGTATCCAACACTAATCACTATCGAGGGTTGGGGTGACCTTACTAATAGTACCTACCGACCAGAGATAGCGCTACAGATCCCTTTCATATATTCTCTAATGTATCGTTAATCTGTCTCCTATACTGGTATATCTCTAATTACCCATCATTGACCTGCGTTCATGTTCACCGTATCGAGATTGTGATAAGGAGATCGCTTAGGGGAAACTTACGGTATCTCAATTATGTCATAGAAAAGGTGCATGTTCAAGCAGTGAATTGAATGTAAACTCCGTTAAGTCCAGTCTGCATGACAACAGAGCACAATGTTTCAGTATCACGTCTCGTCACAGGACAACCTTTTCCCGCCCTCTTCCGTATCCAGCACTCACTCACACACTCTGGTATCGCCGCGAGAATATGCTTCCAAGGTTGCTACTTCTCTTTTTGTCTCTTTCTATGTAGCTTTCTTGTTCAACGACCTCATATTTCTTAATAAAGAATTATCAGGTATTGTCAACCCATTTTTTAATTGTTATTTTTGTTTTTGTTGTTGTTGTCTTTCTCCTTCATCCTTGTCTCTTTGTCCGCGATGTTCTGCTTAACGTAGGACAACAGTTATATCCATACTATACTTGTCTGTGAGGGCCTATGTCTTGTCTAAAGCCTCTATGAGCCATGTTCCTACTTTATACTTGACATGTACGGAGATTTCCGAAATGTTCGAAGCAGTCATGTTTTGCCAGACTGCAAATCCCGTCTTTTTACCAACATGTTTGTGGCTCATTTACAGTTCTATACAACCTTATAAGAGTCGTTTTGTCCCCTGATAACATTGGAAGCCGATACTTATCGCGAAGAAAGGTTTGACTTGACGACACACTATGCAACCATGGGGAAGTTGAACTATTCAGCAGTGAGGCCTCTACCTTTATACTCCATATCGCATCCCTTGAATCAAATACTGAGACCTGGTGGCTATTAGAGGAAAATTGACGGTGAGAAGTTTGCGCGGGTCCTCTCCAGGGACCTGGTGAGTTTTGACGCACAAAATATCAACAAGTCTAGTAATACGGGCTGATTCGCACCCAGAGAAAGCGACTACCAGATGGACCCGGCTTTAAAGCTGCAGCGAGGGATCCTACATTGGAGATCGACATTGCAAACAAGAAGTTGACAGACAAAGATCTGCCTATGTTCATCGATGATCTCCTCGAGTGTATCAGGGAGGAGCTTGGGAAAGTGATCGAGTTCCATATCCAGGGAAACAGCCTCACCCTTAAATCTCTACCGAAGCTGGGCGAGGCAATTGCCCTCAACGCAGGCGAGCTCAGGGAGCTTGACATCTCGAACAACAATATCAATATCAGCCCGAGCCCTGAAGATAAGGCAATATGGTGCCAGTTCCTCAACTCCTTTAAGAATTGCTATATGCTCAAGAAGCTTGATCTTGGGGGTAACCCTCTGGGACCTGTGGGATTGGAAACCCTTGCTCGTGTTTACATCAAAAGTGATCTTCACTTCCTCGAGGATGATGCTAATGCTATTGTCGAATCTAAGAATGAAAAAAGGTCTTTCATCGAAGATCCGGTTGCGGTGAAGGTCACGACAGGAAAGGAGAACGAATATAGCACGAGAGGTAGTCGCCCTGGAAAGTCGCCAAATAAGGGGAAGAAGGCTCTGCGACAAAGTTTTGGTATGTATATACCACCCGAACAACGACATCGCGTAGGCAAACGTTGACTGCTTTATCCAGGCCAGCCCAAATCTAACCCTGTTAAAGGAGCAGCACCTGACGACCTCAAACGTTTCGCCTGCACCCGTGGCCTTCGCTCGATTGCCTATCTCATCTTGTCCAACATTTACATGGCAAAGAGTGGCACGGTGCACCTTGCGAGTATGTTGAGCATGCAAAGAACCTCGGATCAGCTCCTAAAATTCCTTCCCGGGGGCAAATCCCTAGCCTTACCTGAAACCGCACGCGGCAATAGCATCGTCTGGCTTCCCAACGACACTCTTCCTCAAATGGCGAGCGAGTTCCTCGAAAAGGCCGAAGCCATCAACGAGATAAAAACTCACATTGACTCGGATGATGACCTTTCAGCTGACGATGAGGCCCTGGGACTTGTCGGTGCCATCGCCCAGACAAACGCCGAGCCTAACCACAAAATCGACACTGCTGCACAGAGGGAACTTCAGAACAAGAAGAACACCGCATACGCCAGACTCACGAAACGTGTCCGTATGGAAGCACTGCACGACGAAGGCGTGCGTGGCACAGACCTATGGATCACTGCTCTGCGAATGATGAATGTTTCCCGAATCCTCCTTTGGCAAGGTAAGGACAGCATTGTAGGCTCCCCAGACAAGGAACAAGGTCAGCAAGAAGACGACGACAGAGACGACCCCAATCCTTCCGCAATACACATCGAAGACATTACTCAGCAGTTCGAAGACCTGGAAGCAACAGCACATCCCAGTTCCCGGAAATCACCTTCTTCCCCCGTCGAAATCCATATCAATGAACCTGGCCGCATGGGCCCTTTCCACCCCGGCACAGTCTCATTCGACGTCAACTTCCCCATCCTTCATTCATCCAACACAGAGAGTGTTGAGATTCCACTCACCAGAAACGATATGTCCGCATCACCACAACCCGTCCGTTCAGGAAAGGGCAACACCCGCACTACACTCGGATCCCGAGCCCTCCGCAAGGAAAAAGAGACTTGGCGCTTTGGCTTTACGCTTGAGATATGGCGCAGAATTATTGTAGGTGCGGTCGGCGCGGAAGGTATTCTGGACCTTGAACAGCAGACTCAGATCATGCGTTATGCCACTGATAGGAAGACTCTTAAGGATGAGATGGGTATTACAGGTCTTGAGGATCATCAACAGATCTGGAGGATCTTGGAGAAGAATAATTGCTTCGTTTATAGTCCTTTGTAGGGCTGATGCGGGCAATTGTCTCCTGTTAAATACAGCTTCTGTGGGGAGTTAAGAGGGCTAGATAATATCAACTCCGCTCGAGATTCAAGGAAGGGGAGGGGGGAAAATAGGCTCACAAACAGGTGACAGGGGCGAGTTTAGGCGAGACAACAATAAAAGGTTAGAAAAGATATCCTGAAAACATGCTTGGTGATGATTAATTATATGGATTGGAATAAGACGTTTAACGTTCTTTCATTAAGAAGAGGGACTTATCATAATATGACGCATTGCTTGACTCCTAAGTCCTGGCACCTGTACCGCATGAGCTATTCAGAGGCGTTGAAGCTCTCTGAAAAGTAGTTCGCATAATCGCAAGCCCACGATGACTCGGGGTTTAACCAAAAGGAGAAAGAGAAGAATGGCAGACTACTTTGAAACACGGACAAATTTACTCAAGTTTACCAAGTTAAGCTTTTCCAGGCCATAGTATCAGTCATGGTAATGTCAGCTCCAAGGTCTTTTAATAACCATGCTCTGAGTTCTATTGCGACAAATGAATCGACCCTATTGCCTGTAATAGACTTTACTGCGTCGATATCATCTCCCGGAGAGCTTATCAAATAAGCCAATTGCTTCTGAATGGCGTCCAGCGTGAATGTGGCTGCGATGTCTGTGGTCTGCGCGGCGCTAAGTACAGCCTCAGGACTGTAATCCTTGTCATGCACTGTCTGTTGATGCTCCTGGTGGGCATTGGTATCTTGAAGATGAGTAAATAAAGGGTACTTCATATATGCAGGAACCGGTACGCGCCGGTCATGAAATGTTGTTTCTGGAACTAGCCCGTAAGCCAATTGGCATGTCGCTTCTGTCAATGAATTGCGAGGATCAATGCAATACTCCACAAGAGCATGAATCTCTTCCTCCCCAACCTTTCCAACGGAGCTTTTTGAGTTGCCTTGTAAGAGACTCGGGGATTTCGCCAAAATAACCGACTGTGGTAACGTAGCTAAGATCTAGGGTAGCTGCCTGTTGTCCGCTTTGGACGAGATGCCTGGCGAAAGCATCCGGAAATGTGTTCCCGGCTGCATAGTTAGCTTGGCCACGGTTACCGACGAGCCCACTAGCAGATGTCATCATGATGAAGAAGCCTAGTGGTCTGGGAAGTGCTTCGTATAAGTTGAGAGAACTGATGATTTTTGGTTCCGTTGCTGCTTGCCAATTCTCGTACGTCATCGTTTCGAAGATTACATCCTAAAAATTATTTAGTCTCTATATAAGGAAACGTACTATAGCTTTGGTAAGATTCTCACTTCAAGTACCATGGAGCACTGTATGTATCCTTTAATCGGGGGCAACTTTTCTCTGCACTCGTTGAAAACAGACGTGAGTTGAGCCTTCTTAGTGATGTCGGCTTTGAAGATCCGATACTCGCAGCCACGTCGTGCTATGAACGAGGTCGTCTCTTCGACTTCTTTGTTAATTCTCCCGGAGCGGGATATGAAAACAATGTGCTTTGCTCCTCGCGAAGCCATCCACTCAGCCAGGCTCCGGCTAACCCCACCCAGCCCACCAGCCAAGAATACCAATCGCCTGGTGATTACACGTAGTTCCAGGATCAGTGTTGAAAGAGGTCAGATGGTCATGCGATGATCCTGCCCACAAACACTGACGTCCTCGAGGAAGCTACTTGGTCGAGGCGGACCCCAGCATTCTCGAGTGCATGGTAAACATTCTCTAGCAACAGCCGCTGCCGAGGATCCATGCTCAGTAGCTCAGCCCTGGTGATGTTGAAAAATGCGATCTTTAGGGAAAGGAGTAGCGGACTGACGACCTCGCAGTAAGAGTTTCCAGAAACCTTCCGTGTCAGAAGACACGGGATCAAAGTACAAGAGTAATGCAGGAATTGAATGCATACATGAAAAGTGGATTCTTTCCTTCCAAGTAGGATCTTTTCTAAAATTCATTTGAAGGATGTGCCGCCTCTATATGGAGTATGTGCAACTCAAAAGGACGAATGAATTGCACAATAGGAAATAAGCACTTATGCTTCTGGGTATATCCTATATAGGACTACGCACTACTATATAAGTGCGGTCCAGTAAAGGACAGGCCTTTCGAGTAGATCTAAGCTAATAAACTCACCTAACAATTCGTTCTGGGCCCCTTAGAAACCAAGAAACAGAGCGAGAACCAAAGAATTGAAACCAGTGGGAAATTTAAATTAAATGCCTCAGGATAAATGTCCTCTCAACCCTCGCACGTGACCTTTGGTATCATTTCCAGGACTTGACTTTTGACCTAAGTGGCGGACCACGGTTTTGATTCGAATTGGCTTTCCTCAAAGCTCTCGAAATCTGGATTCTGCTCACAAATACCTACATTTTCACTCTGATTAACAATGAATATGATGCGCGCCAAAAGAACCAACACACAGCCCCTAGAGGATGCCTCTACTGCCCCCGTAACCTTCAACGACGGTCTCCCACTCCCAAAGCTGATCGCATTTGATTTGGATTACACCTTGTGGCCATTTTGGGTGGATACACATGTCAGCGCACCGATTAAGCCACGAGATAATAATTCCCGGTGTACCGACAGGTATGTACCTCCTTTGCGCAATGAACAATACCATTCATTCGAAGTACTCACGGTTCTTCATGCGACAGGTGGAATGAGTCGTTCGCCTTCTACCCCGCGGTATCAGCAATCATCTATGCATGCAAAACTCGCTCAATCCCGCTAGCTCTGGCTTCCCGTACCCATACTCCCGACCTGGCTCGGGACATGCTCAAGGCCCTTCACATTATTCCAACTTTCTCTGATAACCCCGCAGCTAAGGCGAAGTCGGTCCGTGCCTTAGATTATTTCACCTACGTTCAGATCTTTCCGGCAAACAAGACACAACATTTCTCGAAGATTCACCAAGCTAGCGGTATAAACTATGAGGATATGCTCTTCTTCGATGATGAGGCGCGCAACCGGAACGTTGAGACAGAGCTTGGGGTTACTTTCTGTCTCGTTCGAGACGGTATGACAAAAGAAGAGGTTGATCGGGGAGTCTGGGCATGGCGTAAAAGGAATGGAATAAAGCCTACTGCGCCGAAGGAAGATAATGGCGAGCCGGCGAATTGAATGGATTATTTCAAGGGTTGGTTATAGATCAGGGTTGACTATCCTGAGAATGAGCGTTGGGACTGACACTGGTTTTCATGACTAAACTTTTTTATGATGAAGATACCCAGATGGGATGATGAGATAGTCGCTATATATATATATATATTTAGATATAGAAACTAGACCTTTCAAGTCTTGCTATGAATCCATATAAACGTCTAATAGATGAATTAGAGTGTCACATGTTCCATGTAAATCTCACGGAGATAAAGTCATCAAATCTCGGAGTTATTTCCGAGCTCCGCAACTCCAATTAACCTTAGTTTCAATCAATTAAATCATTCAATCAACCTGCATATCTGCCTTTAACAACTTACACAACAACGACAGCAACAAGCACACACCAGTTAAGACCAACCTCCATCATGGACCCTCGTCAAAGCCAAGTTCACCTCAAACCACCACCACCCCAACACGTTCGCCCTTCAGCATCGGGCTCCTCCTCACCAGCCCCAACTCCCCGCGCCCCCGTAACAGCACATCCTACGACAACAGTCGCAGACACAGTCATCCTCCACGGCACGCATCCAATCTCAATAGGCGCAGGAACGATAGTCCATCCCCGCGCCAAATTGTACTCTTATGAAGGACCCATCGTCATCGGCGAGAACTGTATCATCAGTGAGAAAAGCACCATTGGCGCCGCGCCCACCCAGCCTCCCTCGCTTCTCAGAGAATCGCGCGCATCAGACGGATTGCCCATCCGTATATCCTCTTGTGTTACCGTTGGGCCGCTAGCTACGATCTTACCTGGGGCACATATTCACTCTGCTGTTACAGTTGAAGCACTCGCGACCGTCCACCGGCGCGTGTCGATAGGCGCACATTCGAAGATCTGCTCGGGGTGTGAGGTTTCGGACAATGTGAAGATAAGAGATTGGACTGTTGTGTGGGGGTCTGGAGCTGGCTTTGGACAGAGAAGACGTACACGCGCGACGGAGAAAATGAGTTCGGCAACGGCTGCAACACAGGGGATCCAGGCGTTGGAAGGGAGAGTGATCGAGGATGCGAGACTGATAGTATTACAGAAAGAGAGAGAGGCTCTTGTTAGGCTTATTGGACCCGGAGGGGGTGGAAGGAGAAGGTGAATCTGGTGGCGTATGCAGGCACAAGGCATGCATATAATCTGTTACTTTTCTGCTTTTTCTTTTGCCCCTCAAGTGCGCTTTATACCCTGATAGACTCTAATGAAATATGGTTTCTTGGCTATAGAAGAGGATTGCTGTGCGTAATTATTCAGTCGCTAGAAGACATAGACTGTACACTATATCTATTCGCCGAATCATGTAATCACAAGGTACATTGAATATCAGATGCAATGAACAAAGGAAATCATTAGGTCTTTTTATGACCACCGTTCTCCCTAAAGGGGGCATATAAATGATTTGGAAGGTTCGTAGACGCTTTAGTCCTCAGTCAAAACAAATTCAGGCATAAAGGTACAGAAATGGAATATAAAAGTAAAACCTAGAAACAATAAACCAAATGTCTTAAGAACCTCTTGCATGACCACCACCTCTCATTCTCTTTCCAGCCCCTTCGTTACCACCCTCCCCACCATCATCTCGGGCCCGCTTGTTTCCCTGAGGAACGAACTGGCGAGCGTGAGCATTCAGGTTTCCACGTGGGCTAGACTGCCCTTGCCCCTGTGGCAGGTTTGCAGTCTGGACACTCTGGTTACCACCTCGGCCATGACCCCCGCGGCCTCCGCGGCCTCGAGGGAGACCGGTGCCACGTTGGGATGGCTGGCCTTGCTGTTGCTGTTGAGGCTGACCCTGGTTTTGCTGCGGTTGTTGTTGATGGCCACCACGCCCGCCTGTTCGACCTCCCCGTGCAACCGGTAACCCAGACTGCAGAGCTCTAAGAACTCCACTGTTAGCGCCAGCTGGAGGTTTACTTGGTAGCGATGCAGGCTGGTTATTCTGACTTTGTCCGAAGGGGTTCACGGGAGCATTCGCTGCTGGCGGTGCTGTGCCTTCGGTACTTTGTGGTTGTTGCTGCTGCTCTTGCTGTTGCTGCACATCTCCTTGACCCTGAACTTCGACTGGGGCAGGCCCCTTAGCTGGAGCGGCTGTCGCTTCAGGACCGGTTGCTGCTGGGCCTTGCTGCTGGTTGACAGGCGCAGGAGTGGGTGCAGGAGTCGGCGCAGGAGCCGGCGCAGGAGCCGGTGATGGGGTCGGTGCCACTCCTGCCGCTGGTGTTTGAGTAGGTGTTGGCGCGGGCGCTGGTGACGCTACTTGTGCGGGGGATGCAGCCGATGCAAGCTTTTGGGTTTGAGGAGGAGCCTTGGTTGTCTTCGCTATTTCCCATACCTCAACAACAGGTTTCTGAGGAGTCTCGGTGGCCGCCTTCTGAACAACGTCGATCTTGGCCTGCGCATTCCTGCACCGTGTATCAAGCATACTGATCTTAACTAACGTTTTCTTATCAGATAGCTCGACGGCAGATTTGATTTTCTCCTCAACACCTTCCTCGTGAGCCTTCTTGAGGGCTTCCTTCTCCTCATTGAACTTTTGCTCCATGGAGGCCAAGGTTTCCTGGCTTACACCTGCCGAAGGCTGAGCCCCCTGTTTCTCTCTCTCCTTAGCAAGCATGGTCCGGATATTGTTTCGAATGATGGTCCGAATGGTTTCGTTCTTAGCAACCAGGGCTTTAGCTTGCTCATCTGTGAGTTGCGGTAGTTCTCCTTCCGTCTTTGCAGGAGTCGCGGGCGCTGCAGGGGTTGCAGGAGCCTGATTTGGTTTCGACACAAGGGTTCCCGGTTCTTGCGGCTGTGATGTGGCTTGTTGGTTGGTCCTCAACTTTTCTATCTCTTGTCGGTGAGCCGTCCTGACTTCAGCCATCTTGTTATTGAAGGACTCCTTCAATTTCTCTACACGTTCTTTAGCCCTTGTCTCGTGTTCGGTATCCTTGGCGGCTAGAGTGGCATCCTTCTCCGCCAAAGCAGCCTCCTTTTCGGCAAGAGCAGCTTCCAGGCGTTGCACCTTCTCTTCAAGTGCCTTTACTCTTTCATCATCACTTGGAACAGGCACTTGAGTGGTTGGTACAGGGAACTGAGAGGCAGGCGTCGAGTCAACACCAGAGCCGGCAGGTTTTTCTTCAACAGCTGGTGCAGCTGGCTTTTCGGCCAACTTGGCTTTCAACCCGCTCAACTCTTCCTTGGTCGTCTTCAATTCCTCTTGAATGACTTCCTTCTCTTGCACCACCGTATTCAACTCCAGCTGCTTAGCGTTAATACGGCCAGTAAGTTCCTTAGACCTAGCCTTGAACTGTTCGGTAAGCTTTGCACGCAAATCCTGCACCCTCTCCTCTGCGTGCTTCAGTTGCTCTGGGAAAGCAGCCGCTTGTTCCTGTAAGGCGTCGCGAGATGACACGGCTTCATCGCGCTCTTTCTCTAGAGTCTCTAGTTTCTCCTTCAACCCTTCCATCTCAGCTGGGTCAACACGGTCGTATTTCTGGAGAATATTCTGAGTTCGCTGTTGCCATCTGTCGCGGTCTGCTTGTAAGAGCTTCATCTCCCCATCTTTTGTCTCCACCACATTTTCAAGTTCCCTTATCCGCGTTTCCAGAGGCTCCATTTGTTGCACAAGCTCATCGACACGTGCAGACTTCTCTGCCAGGGCAGTTTCCGCTTGCTTGACCTGATTACGCAACGTAACGCTGCTTTCCCGGAAAAGATTAAGTTCGTTCAAGGTCTCCATGAGTTTGTTGTGGCTCAGAGCGGTATGTTCGCTGTCAGCAGCAGCGCGACGTTGCTGTTCAAGTTTCAGCCTCGCCTCGTCCAGTTGGGATTGCGTATATTCGAGCTGCTGGCGCAAACGTTTACTCTCCTGTGTTGATAGATGATACTGAACATCAACAATCTCCTTTTCACGACGCAGGAACTTGATGACCTCTTGAAGGCCTTCCAAATTGGGTGCAGAGGTTTCGCCGTCGTCCTCGGCCCCAGGAATGTTGGCACGGTCCCGCTGTAAAGCAGAGATCTGGTTCGTAATATTCTCGAGCTGTGAGTGAAGCAAGGAATTCTGGTGCAAGACTTCCTCGCGGCGTTTCTGCAGCTCCGATAGTTCACTTTCATATCTGTCTTTCAGCTCATTCCAACTTTCCTCTTTTTGTGTCAGATCTTTCTTGTATGTGTCGGCTTGGGCACGGGACTCAACAAGCTCAAGCTTCAACTGATTTGCTTCTGAGCGAACTAGCTGTAGGTTCTTCGCAGCCTCAGCATGCTTGACCAATTCGCTTTCATAGTTTTGCTGTGCGTGCTGTGAAATTTCTGCCTGAGCCTTCAAATCTGCTTGATGGTATTGGGCTGCGGCAAGCTGGCGTTCATTCTCGTCCTTTAGTCTTGTGATCTCAGCTTCCAGGTGAGACTTCTGCTCCTCAAGGCGGCGGGCAACATCTCCTTGCTCGTCACGGAGTTTAGATAGTTCACTATTGGTAGTAGAAAGCTCGGACGAGATTTCCTCAATCCGCTTTTCAAGATCCTGGATCTTCTTATCCTTCTCTTCAACAAGGCGTTCCGTCTCCTCACGATACTGTTCATGTGTCTCGGTGACAGACTCCAAGCGTTCCTCAGCCCCCTGACTGATTGCCCTATAGTCCTCCACCTGTTCCTTAGCATGCTCAAGTTCGCCCTTGGCTAAGTCGAGGTCACGCTTCAACTCAGCAACCTGGATACCCAACTCCTGTTCACGCGTCAAACCAGACTCTTGTGCACCGTCTTCCATAGTTGCAGGCGCCTCAGTTGGGGCAGCGGACACGCTAGGTCTAGACTGCATTACTTGTAGGCGCTCCTCAGCACTCCGGAGCTCAACAGTCAACTCATCCACCCTAGACTGCAAATGGTCTCTAGTTGTCTTGACACCAACTAGTTCTTCCCTAGCCGATCCCAAACTTGTCACCAAATCATCAATCCGTTTCTGACTTTGCTCATGCTCATACTCTCTCCGCAGGGCCGCCTTCTTAGATTCCTCAACCTCATCATTGAGTTTCCGTTTAGTGGATTGCAACTCGGACTCAAGTGATTCGACGTTGAGCTGCAGGCGACGACGGCTCTCTGAGTCGGTGTGCTCGCGTTCATTTAGGATTGTCTGCAGGTTAGCATTGAGGGAGTCAAGCCTGCTTCTCTCATTCCGTAATGTCTCGTTGTCTTCTATCAACCTTCTCTCGATATTCTTCCAAAGGTCCTTCTCAGCCTTCAAGTTTGCATTCTCCCGCTGGAGACTTTCAACAAGACCCTTTGTTTCTACTAAATCTTCAGCTGCTTGTTGTGTCTTTAGGTCTTGACGGTTTGCATTCTCCAACAGCGCAGCATAGCGTTTCTGGAGTTCGGTGTTTTCGCTCTTAAGCATGTTGAAATTACTTTGCAACAGTTCCGCCCTCTGGGTAGCAGCACCCAGCTGGCTGCTGGAACGGCTAATCTCACTCATCAACTCACTGTTCTTCCTCGACAACTCGTTTACTTGTTGTTTAAGGGCAGAATGATCAGTGGCAGACTCCTCGCGGAAGCTGTCAAAGTGTGCTTGCACCTTGCGAAGGAGCTCGGCATAATCAGGTGCGTCCTTCATATGCTCATCGGCAGCACCAGGCGGTGCGGCGCCGAGCGGGAGAGACTGAGAGAAAGCAGAAGAATCACCGACCGTCTGACGCCGACGTGTGAGCATGCTCCGGAAAGTGTCACGTTCCTTTACGTAGCTCTTCGTCTGAGCGACAAGGTTTGCAATCTCATCGCGATATGTCTGCACTCTAATCCTTAACTCCTTCAGTTCTTCCTGCTCTTGTTGACGGACAGCGTCCTTCTCCCGGGCTTCAGCGCCCTCCATCTTATCACCGAGTTCTCTCAACATTCGTCGGAGGGTCACGTTCTGTTCCTGAAGTTCATGGAGGTCCTTAAACGTCATCAAGTTCTGGCTAATGAAGCGTCCCGTAGGAGTGAGATCTGCAGTGGTGTCCTCGATCTCCTTTCGAGCTATCTTCTCGAGCTCGTCCCTGTCGTAGCTACCTTCACCTTCCTTCAAAACGGCGACTTCCAACACCAAAACCTTGATCTGCGCACTCAGATCTCTAAGCTGCTGGCGCAGAATATCTCCTTCACGAGCTAAGCCCTCCACCTGGCCTTGCCATTTTCTTGCTTCCTTTGTTGCGTCATCCCTCTCCTTTCCAGCGGTTTCGAGAATGTTAGACATTTCAACAACAGCATTCTCGAGTCTTGCATGATCAGCGCGCAGCTCATCAATTTCGGGCTTACTTGCTTCGAGGTCCTGAACCATCTCATCCAATGTTGACCGGAGTTCTTGGCTCGTCTTTTGTTCCGCGGCCAGTAGTGTTCGCATCTTGTCATATTCCGTATACATTTGCGTGAGAGTAAGGCCACCCTTTCCTCGAGAAGCTCTAGGCGAAAAAGTACCAACAGGTGTACCAGGACGAACGGGCGTGCTAGGCCCTCCATTTAAGCCTGGTGCTGGGCTCATGGACCTCCTTCCAGCGACACCTTCAGACTCGAGTTGGCTCACTGTGAGCTCAAGTTCAGCGATGCGGCGCTCAGCGACTTCTTTGTCGGAATGTTCTGTTTCAACCTCCACGCGGAGTCGGGATATCTCTTCCGCTGCATCGTCCCTCGCCTTTTCTAAGGCCAACTGACATTCCTGGACTCGTTGTTTGGCGGTTTCCGCGGCATTTCCTTGCAATTCGGCGAGCCTGTTCGCACTGTCCAGTTCAATTCTGAATGATTCAGCTGTTTGGATGGCCTCCTCCTTGAGCTGTTGCATGCTCGAAAGCGACTCTTCATATCGCTGCTCGACCTCATCGAGCCGGCTCTTAAGGGCATTTTCGCTGCGTCTCAAGGAGTCGATGGTTGCACTAGCCTCCTCATTCTCGCGCTGAAGCTCGGCGATCCTAGCGCTCTTTTCCTTCCGGAATTTTAGATACTCGGCAGACTTCGTCTTCAGCTCTGTTTCAAACCATTCGTTGTTCTTCTTTGTCAGATCCAAGTCCTGTTGGAGACTCTGCTCGCGGAAACGGGCACTCGCGGATGCCGAGTTTGCAGCCTGAAGATTCTGCTCAGCAGAAGAAAGTTCACGTCTCAACTCAATGGTTTTCTTGTGTTGCGTCGAAAGCTCCTCCGCTAGCTTATCGTATGCTGCAGACTTTGATTCAAGAAGTGCTAGTGTGTCCCTGTTTGAAGCTTCAAGGGAGGAGATGCGGGATTTCAAAGAGCTGACTTCGGATTCATTAGAGGTAGAAGAGGATTTCAAGGCGGCGATCTCGGATTCCAGGCTGGATCGGATATTTTCTATAGCATATAAGCAATTGCATCACAACACAGTATTGATAACACAAACCAGATTCATGTAATTTTTTCCTAGATTCCTCAACTTCTGCATGGCCCTTCTCGACAGAGCTCTTCAACACCTTGACCTTGGACTCACTGCTGCGAACCGCGTTTTCAAGCTCTACCTCCAGGCGAAGCTTATCGGACTTCAGATCATCGTATTCTCGGGCCTTTTTTGTGATCGCTTCGAGGAGTTGATTCACTAATTCAACTGTAGGAGCTTGGGTAAGAGTGGTAAGGGTCGACTCTGCGATGGAGTAATGAGAGGACAGGTAAGGCAATTCAATCGCAGCGGTAGCCATGGCGCCGTATGTTAACAGCGGCACGAAACCGCGTAACCTTGTAGACGGTTAATCAAGAATACCCCAGAACAATCGTCGTGTACCCAGGTGAATAGACGATGTTGCTGTAGGTGTGACATGCACTGTCTTTGACACGTGCACACAGCGCTCAAGGTTGCAATTAGCTCATGACGACATCAAAAGATAGATGTCTATGAGAAGCAACAGAGGTAAAGTGAAGATAAAACCTCTGTAGAGTGATGAATAATAGATTATGGACAAAGGGTGAAGAGTGACGCTTTGCATTCGGGCTGCTGGGTTACAGCTCCTAACGCGGTTAAGCGCGCCGATGTCATCACGTGAGGTGCTACTCCGGATGAACAAGAGGCTGTGATTACAGCCGCAAAGAACAGCGCATCTATCAAGCCCAACAAAGGCTGCTGACGGCCTACTCGGTGCGGCTTATTCCAGGGTGGACTCGAACATCTCTAGGTGACCATATGTCTCTTTGAACTTTCGAATGAGCCATCGCGACCTCTACTTGAGCTCTGTTTGGCTCCGGTGAGCCAAGCCTTGCCTCATCTTACTAACTTCTGGACCCTTCACGTCACCTTTCTTCTCAACTGTGGGTTTGGCTTTTCTTGATAACTTGCAACCATGTCGCATCTTCAGCAGCAACTCAAAAGCTTCAACGCTGGAGTCGTGGCTGCTGCGGCTCGCATGCCGCAGCAGAGACGGTTCGTCCATAACAACTCTGCCAGTAGTTCACAAGTACCGTCTTCGGCCTCCACACCCACCCCGAGCGGCGATGTCAAGCGGAAAAGGCACGATGCAGATATCGTCTACTCGCAGCCTGCCAACACTGGCACAGGCAAGGATATTATGACACAAGTTATCTTTGCAATCGAACATATGAAAAACAAGGGCGTCCCGCTCAGGTTCACGGATATCGTCTCCTACCTTTCTCTTCAACATCGGGCCAATGATCAGGGTTATGTCCAGGCACTACGGAGCATTCTTCAGGTGCACGAGAAGGTCCAGTACGATCCTAGCGGTGCGAATGGAGAAGGCACATTCAGCTTTCGCCCACCACACAATATCCGCACTGCTGAGCAGTTGCTCCAGAAACTCCAGTCGCAGTCTACCGGTGCTGGAATGAGCGTCCGTGAGCTGCGGGAAGGCTGGCCAAATGTGGAAGACACTATCAATCAGTTGGAGAAAGAAGGAAAACTTCTTGTTACTCGCAACAAAAAAGACGACCATGCGAAGATGGTATGGGCCAATGATCCATCCTTGATACAACACTTCGACGACGAATTCCGTCAAATTTGGGAGAAGATCAGAGTTCCCGACCAGCAAGCTGTCAAAGAGGAGTTGGAGAAGGCCGGGATTACACCCACGAACAAAAATAAGGTCACCAAAGCTCGACCCAAGGTCGAACACAAAAAGGTCAAGAAGCCTCGTCGCAGTGGCAAAACGACTAACACTCATATGATGGGTGTCTTGAGAGATTACTCTCATCTCAAACGATGACTGAAGCGTTTATACTATGGAAAAAAGAATGTTGAGTATCGGCTTTTGCGGTTGCGCTTTCCAGTTGCGCATTACGTTGAGATTGAATTATAGAGACCGCCACGACCATGGTGGAGATCGGTTCTAGTGCATCAACCGGCGTCTTAGGGGGAATATACACCGGGAACTTGAGTTTCATCACACGACTAAAAGTCTAGCTAGCATCGTCGCTCATCGCCAGTTGCTGTTCAGCCTGTAAAATACTTTAATAAAATATAGATACCCGAAACCGTCGCATGGAATAATATTACTGCGTAGATCACGAAGCTCTGCGGATGATACCCATTTGACAAAATATTAATTGAACCACCAACTCATATTCTATTGCGATCTACTTCGAAAAAGGAAGATAGCCATGCTTCATGCGCGCAGCGCGCGCATGAATCGGCAACAGCCTCGGTGTGGGAGTAGTACTACCTTAAAGGGAAGTGGGATGGAATTATCACCCGCGGCAGTGAACTTATTTTACGTCCATGACAAACCATTAGTGATCGACTCAAGTCCGGGCCTTCCACTCTTCTTCCCTTCCCTTCCGCTTGCTTCCAAACCATATATATATCGCTGCGCTACCGCAACTTTCCGAGTATAGAATTATCTCTGTTGAGCTCCAGACACTTCTGTTCTTCCCTGTTATACTTGCTTCTACTCTCGAGTCGCATTGCGGTATTCGGCACCCGCGCTTCTCCGCACACCGACCCGAAGATCACCATTATCGGCTTGACTCATTCACATTTTGAAAGGAGTCAATTCCAACGTCCAAACCAAATCTACTGTCCCAATTGCATACACCAGAATAATCAGTCTCAAGCTTCAGCATATCTACGCTCGGTCTCAAAGAAACAAGTACCTACGCCACATATATCCTTTGCCCCGCTCAAGTGAGGGGCATATCTTCGCAACTCAACATGCCTGCAGACACCGATCCCAGTCTTCAATTCGATTCAATTGAAGATACAATTAAGGCTTTCAGTGAGCATTGTTCCCCTTACCCCTCTCCTCTATATTCTTCCCATTTGTGTTGAAGGCGCACACATGTGGAAACGTCCCGAGGCAATTCCAACCGGCAAACGCTAACCCACATGACTCTGCATAGATAATGGAGAATTTATAATTGTGCTTGATTCACAAGACCGTGAAAATGAAGGCGATCTTATTATTGCTGCCGACTCAATTACCCCCGCTCAGATGGCTTTCCTGGTTCGCTTCACAAGGTGGGAAACCCCCTCGGCCCGATATCCTCATGAATCCCAACTGCAATTGCATGTGTCTCATATACCGCACTTACTAACCTTTCCTTCCTTGTACCAGTGGTTTAATTTGCGCGCCCGTATCCCCCGAAATCGCCAATCGACTCAGTCTACCCCAGATGGTGCTTGAGAATGCAGACCCGAAAGGAACCGCATACACGATTTCCGTCGATTCTAGTGACCCATCCGTTACCACCGGTATCTCCGCGCAGGACCGCGCCCTCGCATGCCGAACACTTGCCTCCCCGACTGCCCGCGCCGAAGATTTCCGGAGACCGGGCCATATCATCCCCCTCCAGGCCAGGAGCGGTGGTGTGCGCGAAAGGAGAGGACACACTGAAGCCGCAGTCGAGTTCTGCCGTCTGACTGGCAAGGTACAAGCTGGTGTGATTGCTGAGTTAGTGGAGGACGGCGAGCTGGTCCCGGGCGTCCCAGAGATCGGTGGCAATAACGGTATGATGAGACGTGATGGGTGTTTGAAGTTCGGCAAGAAATGGGGCATTAAGGTATGCACCATCGAAGACCTGGTTGAGTACGTCGAGAAAACAGAGGGTAGTTCTGTTGTCACAAATGGCAAACAGTAAGAAGTTCGAGCGTCACAATGTTTTTTTTGTATAGCCCTTTTTCCCTTTATTGTCATGTTTATAACTATTCTTCTCGGCTCTTTTTCCCTTGCGGAGTGCATGTTTACGACTCGTTTATGAGGCTGTTTTAGTATATACTATTGCTAAGCAACAGGTGGAGGTTGGGTGGGCAAAAGGACATCTATTGAATGTCAGATGGCCATACTTCTCTCAAATTATAGAATGGATACGACAGGGCAATATGAAGTTACAGAAATAGATATAGATGCTGGTCACATCTGTAAATTTAGTCTAAAAGCAAAGTAATTTGGGACCAAGCATTGGTTTATAGCAAAATCAACCGCAGCCAAATCCATGTAGCAAAGCATCGCCCTCATTCTTTTCTCGATCTCGCACTCACCCTTGCACATTGCGAATGTAAGCAAGTATCAATAAAGATAATAACGAAGTTTAGAGGCTAGAAATGGTTAACATTCATATGCAGTTCCCGAGAGTAGTATTAGCCGAAATCACGTTTGCTCTATGGACCCGAACAAGGGACGGGGATCTGAAATGACCCCTTATACAAGGGTTCCATATACGAAATATTATCTACTGGAGCCACTCCTATCAAGCTCACTATACAAGAAAGCGGTAGGCCTTCGCAACGTAACTCGTTTAATCTAACCCCTACTAAATATACCTGGCCTAGATTGGATTGAAAGAACTGGTCTATATCCTGGACTCTGATAGAGACACTTTTAAGGCTTATTGAATAGCGTAACTACTCCGGAGTAGGAAACGAGTATGCCACGCAAAGCAGCGGACCACCTCTGTATTCTTAAGTCTACTAAGCTAGTATATAGCATGTTATCTTACCCTGGTAGTTTAAACTTGTTGAATTCTCTGGGTTTAATAGTTTATTAGTCCAGTATATCATAGGCCATATATAACTTCTAAATAGATAAAAAAATTGAATCGATTGAGATATTGAGGTTGAAATATACGCCATAATCTATGGAGTTACAGAGATGACCGGCTCGCTTACTGAATACATTAGTTGATATTATACCGATTACTATAAAATATAACTGTATTTTCTCAGAATAATCATCAAAAGCGTTAACGAGATGATAGAAAATTATCTTAAACCGTAAAATATTATGCTACACTCTATATCTACATCTGCACAATATTATAAACCTGTACAATATCTGATTGTTGATATCGAGACGGAGAGACAGTAATCAAATGTCGATAGCAACCCTCCATGCTTTTCGTGGAATTCAAAATGCTTCAGTCGTTCTGCGTTCGCAGGATCGAATCCTGCCGTCATATTGATGCTGGGGACTGGTTAAACCCGCCGGCATTCAATTTCATGAACAATTCGAAAGAATGATTTCGTAGGTTCACACCCTACCACTGACATTTACTTTGTTCTTCCCTTTCTTCCTTGAGAGTTTTCCTTGTTCGGTCTTTTTGCCAACTGTCAGGTGGGTGCGCCGAGTGATCTCTTGATAGTTTAACTCTTAAATCTACGATATAGGTTATTAGAGTGTTGTAGATTTGGTTGGAAGATAATGTATGGCAGGTCTATAATATAGTTTCTTTATATGTTATAGCTACCTATATTACGTAGTTTTTAGCCTATACTAGAGCTATACCAGGCAGGTCTTTTTGTAATTATAATAAAGTAAGAGGTGTGCATGCCGAATCCCGGTGGCTGGTGGCTGGTGGCTGACTTCCACACTTGCTGAAAATATATGTGAAATAGACTGTGATTAGAGTATCTTGATCCAGGAATATAGTTTCCTGTTAAGATGGATACCTCTGTTTAAAGCGAGAGCTTTGCCAATGCGTTTTACGATAGAGCCAGACTCTGACGCCATATCATCCACTATATACACGCTTCAGTGTCCACCAGCCTGATAATGGAAAGGTAAAAGGAGATAAAACCATCTTGCGCTTGCTAATTATGCTGTCTATAAAGAGCAGAAGTGTGGTCTATCTAACAAGGTATGCATCTGAACGGTGTATAGCCAAGCTCCCCAATATGCAAAAAAAGTAACTTCACGGCTTACAGCCCTAAGCCTCCCATCCGCCGTACTTCATCGGCCTGTCTTTCTAAAGCTCTCCGCATCATGCTGGAATATTCACGTTCTCGCATCCGCAACTCACGTCTCCTGTTTCGTAACTCCTCACGTTTAGCGCTGTCCATATCTTCGCTAGTATCGATGAGATCATCTTCCTCTTCATCTTCGTCGTAGTCATACGTATCGGCGAATCTAATCCGACCAACACGTTCGCCTGTCCAGACGAGGAGTTCATCTCCCGTTAAATTTCCACCCGTAGGTAGAATCTTCCGAGCAACCTCGTCGTTGCTCCGAGGACTAGATGAGTCATTCCACAGGCCGCGGGCCTCTTCTTCGCTCTCACCCCGCATATTAGTGTTAAATCCTGAAGAGTCTTGTTCATCCTTCCGATGAGGTTTGTAATCGTTGATGTTGAATCGACGAACTTCCGCTCGACCGTCTCGTTCAACCCATTTAATGTTCCCATCTCCGTCAGAATAGACTATACGGGTTCCGTGCGACTCGACAGATAACACCTTCAGGCTTGCAGAACTTTGACGGTTTTGATAAATTGGTGTTAAGCTGGATGATAGATCTGATGGTCCGTTCTCTCCTTGCACACCCGATGGCGTAAGGCTGTATAGCTCAAGAGAGCCTTTGCCTTTGTATTCACCACAGGCGACAACCTTATGCGAGTCTGGGCAGGACGAACCAGAAAACAGAGGAAACTGTGGCGCTGGGACAGAGGCGAGACCGCATAATCGACCTCCCGAGTGAATCGTGTTCTGCAAGCGGGGAAAGAACCGCCGGTCATATTGCAAGATGCTTGGGAATCGTCCGGCAAGGAAGATGGAATTCACATGAGGGGCCGGGGGGTGCAGTAAGGCAAGTGGTCCTGGTTGGAACAAAGGAGCATAGTCTTCACCTGTCTCTAAGGGGTTGGGGCTTCGTATGCGATGGGGAGGCTGTCCGTTGGGCTGAAGCTGGAGAAGGGGGGAATCCGGAGGAGCATAGATCTGTGATTTCGGGACCAAAGAGAGTGTTGGTTTTTCACACCGAAGATTAATGGCCTCTTCTTCCTCGGTTGCAGATAGCCGACCATCGTATATGTGAAGGCTCAACGTAGTAGCTAGAGTTAAGGGCACGGAGTAATCCGTCTCTTGAGACAGGGCAAAGATCGACCAGGGATAACGCTGCTGTGAGATTACACTCAGCGTCTCGAGATCGACTTCATTTAACACATTGGCAACAGCGAGATATGCTCTTCGACGGATTGAGTCCACGCTCACACATTCCCCAAGATTAATAAACTCCAGCCCTGATTTAGCCGCTGAGTTGTCCCTCCGGCCGGATAGATTAGCCATTAGAATGCCCGGCCGGCTAACTCCAAGAATCCTGCCTTTAGTAGATTGAGACCCGATTGAATGGGAATGATTTAGATCCCAAATACAAACACTGCCGTCGTCTAATGGCGCGATAGCCTTGTTCTGTCGCGCGGAGCTCCAATCCCGGAGCAACCCCATACCTTTGACCTCGCGGTGTCTCTTTTTCCCTTGGCTTTCTTTTGTAAAGGGCTGCTGAAGCCAATTGAAGGATATCGGTCCATTGCGAGCAATATACTCCGAATACCAGTCGATATCTTCACCCTCATACGACGGATCCCACGTTGCTGCCGCTCTTGACCGTTCGGCAAATGACACATTCTGATTCCCGTTTGAGAGCGACATATCTGGTTGAATTAGGGAACGGAGAGAAGTCTGGCCCAATGAGCTAATGGGAGTAGTAGAATCTGTGACACGGCGTGTCGAGGCCCCGTTGGCCGAGTAAGAGGCGTTTGCGGCGGCCCATGATTGTTCATAAGAATGGAGTCTCCATAGATTATTGTCCCGCGCGAGTCCGAAGAATCGTTTAGAGACAGACTGAAGCTGTACCTGCTCATGCGGCGAGAGATCTGGTGTTTCACAAGGATGGTTAGCTCGTATAGTGACTGTGGCAAAAGGTACTACACAAGGACCCCCCGCACTAAAAGACCGGAGTGTGGAGAATAGTGTAAATTGACTGGGAAATTGGAAAGAAATGAGATTAGATGTGCTTACAGTCAATTATCTTAGCAAGAATCTCTACGGGCAGCTTCTCCATGAGGAAAACTGGTCCGGAGACACCATCGAGGCCAGACAGATCCAATTGGGGCTCACTACAAAGATGTGGGACAGGCCGTTTCTTGTTGGGTTCCAGACTTTTCTTTATGAATCTCCCCGCCATCAGTGATCAGCCTGATTGGCATCACGTGTTGCCATGCATTGCGGTGGAGACTAGTAGTACTATTTATTTAAGAAAGCCCATGTTGATGGTTGACTTTATCACAGTATAAGATTATCTGCGGCTATAAATTTATTTTCATGACAAGGCTCTGCTTGGCCACCTCGGTTATTTGAGAGCATACCCACGCTCTTAATTCCAATTGGTATCTTTTATCCAATCCATCATAAATCATATTAGTCATACAGAAGGTGACCCTTTATCAAGTCCCAAATGAAAAAAGCGAAGGATTGCACTGAGCCCGGAAGAAACTTTAAGGGCCAGATAAAAAGCACCACCGATTAGCCCTCAGGCTTGTAGACAGCGTCTTTGCAAAGAACAGCAACTCTTTTAAAGAAACGTCGCCATTCAAGCGGGTCACCTTTCACTTTCATAAATTCAATCTCAAATAGACCCTCTGACACGCATTCGATGATGACCTTACCCTGGAGCGTGCACATTCGGCCATCCCTGGTGACAATTCTTATCATTGCTGACGCATCACCGGCAGAAACCGCGGGTACCGAGGGCACGGGCACCCCCAGGCGATGCAGAGCCTCACAGATGAGGGGTACAAGGATTTTCAGTTCCCACGTGGAGTAAAAGCGAGTCAAAGGCCTGGACGGTACTATATCACGGAATTGTTGTGCCTTCTGTGTTCGGCTGAGAGGCACAGAGGGATGAGGAGAAAACTGTGACATAGATGGCTCATCCTCAAGCGTGTCAGCTACATAGGTATCGTCCACCGAGAGAGGTTGCCCCATCGATTGAGTGGATGAAAAGACGTCAGTTAAGTGAGGCGTATCCCAATCAACTAGCATGTGGCCTCTTGGCATCTCAGGTTGCGTCGACGAGATCCTGAAGTCGTTGTCCAGATCTCCTATGTCCATGTCCATTCGGCAAGGATCAACGCCACTATTTGCTCGCCGAGCGAGGGGATCCTGCGAGAAGTCTATATGAAGAGACTCGAACATCGTTGTGGCCATATTTATTGGGTCTCTGAGCCTGCCATCCGGTGATAAAAACCTATTCTGCCGTGTATACCAGGGGTGCCTCCGAACATCTTCCAAAGAGAAGCGGCTGGCTGGGTCGATATTTAGCATACCCCGTAGTAATGATAAGGTCGCGACTGGTAATTGTTGCCAGAGTTCATCACTTGTCCGTGCGTTGGTTGTGACATATTCGTGGAACTCGTAGCTATTTTCTGTTGGGCTATCCCAGGGTGTATTGCCGGCCAGGAGAACGAAAAGGACAATTCCGCATGACCAAATGTCGACCAGATCCGGTTGGTAGCCTATCCCTTTCGTGTTGTTTTTATTGCTGCAAGTAATGACCTCCGGTGCAATATAAGGCGGACTGCCACAGAAAGTGGTGGAAAGCTTTGTCACCCCTTTATACTCGAACAAAGTTGCCAGGCCAAAGTCTGCGATTTTCAAATTCCCATCTGCCGTCAAGAGCATGTTTTCCGGTTTGATATCGCGATGGCCCACGCCTTTCGAGTGCATATATCCTACTGCACTGACAAGTTGTGAGAAATATACATGAGCAATATCCTCCCCCACACCTTCATCAGCCTCGATCTTATCAAAAAGATCGCCTCCCTCGGCCAGTTCCATAGCGATCCACCTCCATACCCCATCCTCTCCGGTTTGGAAGAATGATATTATATTATTATGATCGCCGATGTGTTTGTGCACCGTCGCTTCCATTTGCAATTGCCGTGGACTGATCTTGCCATGTCGCGCTGCGTATTCTTTATGGATGAATTTCACGGCGAAGACCGGATTATCCGTGTGCGACGGGCATGCCTTTTTGATGCTATTATACAACGACACGAAACAGCATTAGCAAATTGCAGCCTACATTGCAACAAACAATAAGATTAGATAAAGAATAATAAACATACCACGCGTAGGCACCCTGGCCGATTGTCTTGGAGACAATACGAAAGGGCAAATCGTTTGGCAATGGGGCGAGTTGGGAGTGGTGCATCTTGAGGTGGCCCTCTATGAGCCTGGCCGTAATAGATCAGTGGACTGAGTAGAGTAGAAAGACAGAAAGATCCTTGTCATACAAAAGCCAGGTTTAGATCCATTATCCTGGAATGATGAAGATAGGCAAGGGCCAAGATGGCTGAGGAACGCGGCACGCGAGTTGCCACTTTATCCTCTTTGGGTAATATGTTGATCCGCCGGGCACAACATTCATGATGAGGACATAAACACGAGAGAAATATTGTGACATAGCCGGATAGCGGATGGACATATAAGTTATACCAGGATAAGAAGAAATAATTCTATAGCAGAAATCAAGAATATAACAACAAGTTAATCATTCATATGACTCCTACGGGGGAACCAACGTGAAAAAGAGGATGTTGGTAAGTTTGATGTTCGTCATACAACTCTAGACCCGCAGCAGCATGTCGCCTGCCGTCTGGAGGATTTCGAGTGACAGGGCACTTCTTTTAATTCGATCGTAATTTAACACACTGGATAATAGATGATATCCAGAACTTTACATGATCCTTGTACGGGCTATCATTGAATTAGAAAGCATCATACGGAGGGTGCACACTATACAAAAATCTCCGACCTCATCTCACGAGGCAATTTTAACTAAGAAAAACCAAATTCTATTTGATAGCGTGATGAACGAACGAGTCAGATTTGTGGTGTAAGATCAGGCGGGGCTTTTTTTTTTTTTTTTTTAGGCCTGCGTTGCCGGGGGCGCATTTATTTGGTTGGTACAGTAAACAAAAGGAGCCCGAAAAAGGGCTTTGAGTGCCTTCCAAGGTTTCCCTGTTTGCGAAACCCAACCTTCCCTTTGTCCTTGCCAGTTTAGAGGTTTATAATATTACACCTGTAAGGTTCCTTGTTCTTTCTGTATACCCCTGCATTGCAAGTTTCGAAAGTCAATCTGGGAACTTTCGACTGCTCTGAATCCGATCAGATCCTCTCCGGTTCATTCTGTGGGTCGTCCCGTTCACTTTCCAGCCAACTGCGGTACCGCATTCGCATCCGGCGTCATTCCAGACAGCAACCCTCTCCTGCTACTGTCGCTCACATTCCACAACCTTCCGGAAGTCTTTTTTTTTTCCGTTATTTTCCCCGTCAAGTAGGATCCAAGTATTTTATCTCTACTCTCTCGCTTTCGTGGGAAAGCCACCATGGACTATACAATGGAGGATACTCAGAACTCCGCTCCGGAGGCGCGTGAGGCGTCCAAGCTGAACTCAGCACCCCAGCGGAATGACAGCCAAAGCGTAACTAAACGGTATTATACTTGGAAGATAAATAAAAAAGTGAAATAGATGCTGACTTATATTCATCCATATAGCCTCCAATCTGAACTGATGCAACTTATGCTCTCGCCTTCTCCCGGTATCTCCGCATTTCCTGACGCCGATGGCAACCTTACTTCCTGGACTGCCACCATCAGCGGCCCCAATGAGACTCCGTATGAGGGCTTGACATTTAAGCTCTCGTTTGCCTTCCCCAACAATTACCCTTATTCTCCACCAACCGTCCTCTTCAAGACCCCCATCTACCACCCCAATGTGGACTTCTCTGGACGTATCTGTCTGGATATCTTGAAAGACAAGTGGAGTGCTGTGTACAATGTGCAAAGTGTTCTCCTGAGCTTGCAAAGCTTGCTCGGTGAACCAAACAAGTGAGACACTAGTACTCTTGTATGTGACATACATCGTTACTGACGGTCGAATAGTGCCAGTCCTCTCAACGCTCAGGCAGCCGAGCTGTGGGACACGAACCAGGAAGAATACAAGCGTCATGTCCTTGCGAGACACCGTGACGTTGATGATATTGAGTAAACTGTAATGACTTTTGTCGGCTCTTGCCGTAATGTGGCGTTAAGGACAGACCGTGTTTCTTTTGGATGCATTGCATAGGGTCTGTGCGTCGTCGTTTCTTGGGGCGTCTCACTGGAGACTTTGTCACTCCTGCATTTTGGCTCAGGGATACGGTTCGATACATAAGGGATACAAATGGTTCTGGAGTTTGCGTTGGGTTCACCTTCTGTTATGGGACTGCGGGTTTAACTCAAGTATAAGAGTGCTCGCGCCCGTGGAATAAATATGTTCCTTTCTTTCTCTTGCAAATTAATAACTGTTAACCATATTTCTCTAATGAATTTTACCTCCAGCGTCTTGCGTACTAAAATGGTATGGATATCCGGCAGCTTAGCTGATATAATTCTATCACACCTAATCCGGCGTGATCATTTAGATCCCGAGTCAGTTAGGACGGCCCTATCCATTACTTGGAATCGAATTGAGGGTACTAGTTGAGTTCTCTAGCTTTCTCGTGACAGTTAGGTTGACTCTCACGTGGTGTACACTTGGATCTCGGTACCCCATGAGCTGCCCAGGCAATCTATGTTTACGGACAGCCCACTGACAATTAGTAGAAGGATAACCGCATGAAATTTCGAAAGAGATGCTTTGAGGGCTTTTTGCTATCAGATATAGAGATAGGGTTACTGGGACAGCAAGAGAGAAGACAGGACACACCAACGCAAAGCGCTAGATCGACTTCGCTTACTGTAATACATTACAGCAGTCGTCGAATACAGTAGCGTCGCGTGCAGTTACTCGTAGGCACAGCGGCCACAGGGAGATTGTAGTTGGATAATGACAGAATATATGGGTGGAAATATATCACCAAATTTGGATATAGTAAGATGGCCAGAATATTCAGATAGTATTTTCTGCTCGCAGAGCAAATGAGCCGAAGACTCCTATTGAAATCATTGCATCAAGAAAGAGTTGAGATCGTGAGCTCCTGGTCTCATGGAGATACAAGTATATACAATACTTCTGCTTCGAAATGGTCAATAAAAATCGCGAATGTCAAAGAAATATGCAAAAGAACACCCGCAATTAAATAGTACAGTTCAAATGGCACGATACATGCTCAGATCAATGTTCCCGCATTGTTGTTAGGATGTTGAGATGTATTGCTCTTCATTTGTAATTAGGAGACCCGCGATGGCCGCACTCGTCAGAGTACTGATGGCACCCGTGAGCATGGCGCTGACAGCAACACGGGACACATCGCCAGCTCGGCTGGGTGCTAGCTGGGCCAGCACACCAATTTGGTTTCCGAGAGAACCGATGTTGGCGAAACCACACAGGGCATAGGTGGCGATCAGCCGGGAACGGGGCGACAGACTTTGGAACTCTTCTTTGTTCTGCAGGTAATCGTACGCGATGAATTCATTCTGTTTGGAGTCTGTTAGCATGTTTGTTTGTTCTCTCGAATCAGAGACAACGGGGCTTACCATAACAAGCTTGGTTCCGATGAGTTTAGCGACCTTCAGGAGATCACCGTCGCGGGAGACACCAAGAAGGAAGGCAACCGGGTAGCAGATGTAGCCAACAATGAGTTCAATTGTCAAATCCGGCTCGTAGATGTTCAGGTAGTGACCCCACCAGGTCAACAGGCCGTCAACGAGACCCACGAGGGAGATGATACACAAAAGTGTAGTGGCAATCATGCCAGCAATCTTGATACCCATCCAAGCTCCGTTGGAGAATGCGTGAAGAGCGTTAGCTGCTTTGTGGCTATCGTCTTCGGGAACGACAATACGGCCAGCTGTCAGCGTTTCCTCTTCTTCGGGCCAGCGCAACTTAGATGCTGCTACGGATGCCGGAATACTCATCACACATGAGGACACCAGCGCTTGGGGGTTCAGACCCATCCCAATAAAGGACACCAGGACCGATCCTGCGATAGTAGCGAATCCAGAGCACATGACTTGGTGGATTTCCGCCATCGTAAGATAGGGAACGAAAGGCTTGATAAGCATGGCCGACTCGCCTTGTCCGATAAAAGGAGATGCAGCTGCCACCACAGCCTCAGCTCCAGAGATGCGCATAGCCCAGAAAAAGAATACGGCAAACTTGCCAATTGCCCACTGAAGAACGCCAGTGTAGTAGAGTAACTGGACGATAGACACGAAGAAGATGATAGCCGGGACCACACTAACGAGGAACCAGCTGCTGTGCTTATCGGCCCAACCAGTCTCCACCAAGAAATCCACACCTTGTCTGGAGAACTCCAGGAGTTCTCTGGCCAATGTGGAGATAAAATTGAAGATATCATATCCAGCCTTGGTTCTGAGGACGAAGAGTGCAATGATGAATTGCACAAGCATTCCCACGATGACGGTATGCCAGATAATTTTCTTCCGATTTCTTGAGGTAAGCCACAAGACAAAGAGGAAAACAACTAGTCCAAAGAGACTGACAGCCCTGTTCGCGCGGGTATTGTCTGCAGACTCTGGCGAGGCAAATGAGCCGACGATAATCACGGCAATCGTCAGGAGCGCGCCGCTGGGGATTCTTAGTTTCTCTGGGATTAGGCTAACGAATCGTGAAGCGGTCTGATTCCATAACCAGTAGACTGGTCTGGTCACAATCGAAATGGGAACATAGAGAAAGATGAGGCGCAATGTAATCGCGAGGTAGATCAAGAATGGGATCAACCAGCCCAGATCATACCGGTGGAGGATGAGACCGGCAATCCACCAGCTATAAGTGACATAATGAGCTTTGACAAGATCACAGCTACCTCGCTGGCAGGCGTCCCTGACAGCCCGAAGAAGGCACAACTCACCCGGTGAACAAGAGCCAGATGACGGCGTAGACAACATGCTTCAGCCACGGGCGATAGCGGCGCCACGACCGCGACGGGACGTTTTCACCTGCCTCCTCGTCTTTATCGTCCTTCTTCTGGCCACTGCTATCGAGAGAATCCGACTCTGGTAGTTCTCTCTTCTCGGAGTGCACATCTTTTGTGTAAGTGATATCTTCCTCGATATCCCGTTGCGCATTGGGAATTGCGCCATGACGCTGTGGCGTAGCTTCCTCCATCGTAGGCATAGTATAGGAGACCGCGTGACTCGCAGACGTGTCGTTGCCCTCCAGTTTCTTCTCATCCACCATCTCCACGCAGCTTGTACCGTATCAAGTAGGCACGTCAATTAACCCCGTTGATCTGTTGAAGACTGTGGCAAGGTCAAAATGTGGTCAATATTTCACTGACGGGGCAAGACCGGGGGAAGATCAATAGAATTTTATTGAATGCATGGACCCAGACATGAAATGATTGGGGATTGATAATGAGATAATGAAAAT